TTTGCTCAAATTTTGTGTGAACAAACTTGGCCGACAGGGAGGATAACCTTAAGGCGGGTCCATCCGATCGCAAGGCTACAAAATGCAGCTTTCGCTGTCGAGTACGGACCCCGAAATTGTCAGCATTCATACCATCATCTTTTTTTTTTTTTTTTTTTTAATTGCGTTTATCTAAGGTCGCCGCCGGAAAGCCCATATGGGCTCATCACGGAATGGTAAGCTGTATCAATGGTGCAAGTGAAATGTAACTTAATATACTAAAGTTTAATTATTTCAAAACAACCAATATATCAACATGTTATTATTAAACATTTAATTTCATATATATAAATTGAAAATAATTATCAAAAGCAAAATTGTTAAAATCTTTTGCTTGAAATCTTTTTTATATTGACAAATTCAATCACTAATAGTATACTTGATATGCTGTGTGTAAATGTATTTCAAAATGTAACAAATTATAATTTCATGTACTACTAAAAAGGGAAATAACAAATGTATAACATTTATAGCTATTTATAGCTTTCGAATTTATGTAACAGCAGAACTGCTTTCCGGTTCTCATTCATTAATATGACATGCTGCGAATCATCGACGGGGAAACCAATATAGAAATCGAAAGGAGTTCATGAATGCGGATTTACCTTTAGCTGTTAATCGAAAGGATTTATTGCTCAAATCCGGGCCCATGGACAAAAAAATAGTAAACACAAATAGCTCCGCGCCTGTGGGCGCAGAGCAATAACTACAACTAAGTAAAAACTTGCGTTCTTGTCATATGCTTGACTGATTACTTTGGTCTGCCTTTTTAGAAAATGCTTGCGTCTTTGAAAAACAACCTGGACGATTACGTGGCTATGTGTCATTTAACATAATTAACGCATTCGTAATTTCATGAAATTAATAATCCTGTGTATTATAACTAAGGTTGCTACCACACTTGAAATCTTATACATTGTATATGTATAAAATTATGCTTCTTAAACAATTTTCAAACCTCGAAGAATTTGTAAAATACTACTGCAAATATTTGTCCACGTTATAATTATGTAATCATTAAAATATATGCATTCATTTCTTTTTGAATTATTTGATTTAGACTTTATGAAAAATAAATTTATAATTACCTCCCTTTATTAACATAAAATGTAAATTTCGGTAATATCTTTACAAATAATGCTTTGGAAACTTACAATATTGATATATCTTCATGTGAGCATTATATTTATGATATAAAACCATAAAAATGTGTTGCAGGATCTTTAAGTTATATTTATGTCCTTGCAAGATATATATGTGTTTATATATCTTATCTATATATATGTTTGGGTGGAATCAAGGTAGAAAGTCCCTATTTGGAAAGTTTAAGATATTTTTAAACTGATTTCTTAGGCAAGTGGTTGCTTAATACAGGTGGATATAAAGGCAAGTCAAACTGTATTTTCGAAAGACATGACAAGTGTTTACCTTGATGAGATCACTACAAACGGGCTAGGTAAACATAATTGTGGAGCATTTACTTTGCTTTCAAATGAATATCATCAATGCGAAAAAAATGCAGACTCGTATGACCTAGAATTAAGTTTATTCCGTAGTAAAGATATTTTGATTTAGTAATAATCTTCAAATCAGGCTGACATCGGATGACGCACTGTAACGGACATATTTTCGAACATTTGTGACAGAAATTGTCATAAAAATTCAATTTTAAAATTTATCGCCAGTTTGAATATGTGTCTGACATTCGGTCCTGCACCTCATTTCATGTTCAAGACCAGTCTGACTTGCAAAACGGTCAGACAGGTTTGCCGAAGACTGCGACACGGGGGAGGAACTGTTATACAGAGGATGGGGTTCTTTTATAACTTGTGATAACTGTCACGGTGTTCCTGGGAAACGTTACAAATTTCGTCGGCAAACAATCGCCAAAAATGATATTTTTTCATCTTTAAATGCTTAAATATTGCATCATGATTTTTTATAGTACATTTTTCAACGAGATGACAATACAATTTGTTATTTTTTAAAGATGTCAGTCATCTGTTATCCACTTAGTTTCTTTTCTTATTAATTCTTTTTTTTTTAACATAACTGGACTTGCAGGACTCTCCATGTTGCGGAAGATTATTGCATACATTTATACTAAACAAAGTTAAGTTAAACTAAAGATTGGTTGCCATATCTTTAGAATCATTCTTATCCAAATGTCCGAAAGTATTACCATGTGCGTTGATATTTCCTTTACAGTAAAATGTAAAATCTTCTGTCAATGTTTGATGGGCATCCCCCGATATAATCTAAGTAGAGGAAACTCTTGTACTTTAATATATAACAAAAATACGAGTATATGGTCGAACTTTGTTCTCTCGAACCCGGAGGGCGCGTCGAGAGATGGATAGTTAGAGCCAATTCTTTTCATGTAAGGCTTGAAGGTTATCCTAGTTATACTTATTAATGTGATATAATATGCTACAAATTACTTAGCCGCTAGATCAGGGAAGCACAACTGTATATTGTCTGCTGAAGAAAGGTGGTTGCTTTAAACACGTGTAACTAAGAACAAACAATAAGTTTTTTTAATAACATTTTTCCTTGGCGGTTTAAGCCATGATACGGCTGAATACAGGTGACCGCTGATTCAGGTTTTACTGTAGATAACGTTTCATCTGTTTATTCTTTGCATACTTTATACTACCGACTCAAAACAAACATTTTATAATTTTTGTGCAAAGGATAAGCGTACTACGTTTTATAATGATTTATCTCCTCATTGAATAATAAAAAGCTAAAATGTGCCCTAACTAAACGCAAGAAACACAATGGCAATAACACAAGTTATTAGAAGAACTCTTCTGGGAAATTTGAAATATCGGGCATATATTTGTTAGCCGGGGCTCAATGTTTGCAACTTTCAATTGAATACATCAAGGAAGAAGATCATAAATGAACTGGTCACTATGTACGAATGAGCAAATAATTTAGAAATTTTACTATAAACTATTTAAAGAATTTAAACAAAGGGAGGTGAAAAATGAGCCATAAAGTTGTTGTTTTTTTCTGACACATTATACAATATGTAAGGCAAGCTTAAACATCAAAGTTTAATTTAGCACCTCAAACATAAAAATTACTACAGTTAAACTTTGTTCGCTCGAACTCGGATCGCTCGAATACCTCCCGTCGCTCGAACTCATCGCCCAGTCCCGGCAAAATTCCTATATAATATATATTGTTCTACCTCGGATCGCTCGAACACCGATCGCTCGAACTCTCGAACCTGATATCTGGTTCCTTCGGCATAAATATAGTGTAAATCACACCATTTCGGTTGAACACAGACAACAAAAGTTGTGGTTCGACATTTTCTAAATAATTGACTGTCGGTGACACATGTGTTTAACACCCCGTGATCGTGATAAAAACAATTAAGGTTAATTGATACAAAATAAAAGGTGTTGTAACCGATTTGCTTGTTATGATAAAATTGTATATTGCCGTCTTTAATAACGATAAAACGAAAATAACTCCTGAAATGCGCTTAAGTCAATAAATAAATGACGTTTACCCTACAACTGTGGTTCATGTAACGTGAATTGTAACAATGTAATCTTTTTACAGAGTGATACTTGTGCGTGTGTTTATTTTAGTAAATGACTACAAATAGCTGCTGCTGTAAAATGTTGTTGTTTTTTCAAGATTTTTTAATTCATTGTTTAAAATAAATTCATCCCATAATAAACTTATAAATATATTTTGAACACTGTTCACAGTTTGGATAATGATCGCCCAATTGAACTAAACCATTTACAATATGCATGAATACAGATTAACACAGAGTACCGTTAACTCTGTTTTCAAAAGGAAAATAATTCTTAATATGACATATTTTAGAAACAAATGTACTAACAAACAATTATATTGACGTATTTATCATTTGACCGATGTAAGCTTGAAAACCTTTAGGCCTATGTTCTATGTAATAATAGTTCAACCTCGGTTGGCTCGAACTACCGATCTCTTGAACAAATTGCACAGACCCCCGAGTTCAAGCGAACGAAGTTCGACTGTATTTGTTTCTTCGGTATATAGAAAAGTTTTCCGACGAAATTCGTAACGTTTTCCAGGAAATTCGTGACAGATATCAGAAAAACTTGTGACAACACACCGTACAATCAAATTGGCAAACAGCAGTTCAAGCGTCGACAGCTTAACCAGTATATACATGTCGGCGCAGGAAATACATTTGACGGACGGTAAGTATTCATCTATGTTTAACATATCCCAACTGTGTTCGAGTAATTAATGTTATGGATTCATAGTTAACATCCAAAGAAGCATGCTAACAAATTTCTGACCCTGTGCAAGCTTTACTTCACGTGAATTTTGACTGAAAATGACCTTTCCTGCGCCGACATGTACGTGTATTTACTGGGACAGCTGTCGACGCTTGAACTGCTTTCTGCCAGATTGATTGTATGGTGTGCCTATGGTGATTCCAAGTTATACACAATCCTAACGAGAACGTACGCAGTAAGTTAAAGATGTCCTATACTGTATCAAAATGTGAAAGATTTGTAGGTACCAGCAATCTCTCAGGATAGTTTTGTGTTTTTTTCTTGTAATTATTTCATACGTGCCATTTATTAGTTTTTAATTACAATGTAATCGGAAGTATATAAATTGACATTGATAATAAAGATTGTTTCTGTACTTTGTTCAAGTTTTTATCAATTTGTATTCACGTGCGTTTAATACCTAGTTTATTGGGGTCGAATTGCCGTTATTTTATTAATTGCATTACGACAAAATGTCTGATCAAATGGGCATAAAGAAGTAAATGTAGAAATTGACGTAGCAGTGAAATAAATAAAGTTTTATTGAAGGATAGATATATTTTCATATGTTGTTTTATCATAACAATGTTAACATGACTAACATTGGAAAATGATAAAGAACATGCCTTGAATGACGCAACATTTTTTTTTATACTTTAATCTTACCTGTGCATCGTGTTTGTCCAAACGAATAAACCAAAATGATTGTAAGTAGCAGTACACGGTTCTGAAATAATTGTTAGAAATATTTAATGCTGGACTGAGAATGGCAAATTTATTGCTCCCCACCCCTTCAAGTGAGCATAAATTCATATTGCTTTGGGACTTAACCTTTGCTAGTCTTTCGAAACAGTGTAGCAAAATAAATTTTATTGAAGAAATGTACATTCTAGTTTTATCTAGATCTGGGACTAATAGTGTAACTTTCTGTCCCAGTCTAGATGCGTCCCATAATTTTGTTTCTTGACTCTTGCTTTATTTCGACAGATTAGATACTATAAATGACATGAATGAATTAGATAAATTACAAGAGCAAAACGCGACGCTTGTTTACATAAAGAGTCAATAATCATGTTGATTTCAACAACTTGAAAGCGATATCAAATAAGCAATTTTGCCAGTCCGGAATTAAAATACAAACAGCTTTGTGTTTTGTCAAATTTTCAAGTAAAAGCAAGTAAAAAACATACCATTGTAGAAAACATCTTGTCAAGGAGAAAGAATCTCACTATGTAATAATCGCTATAATTTAATAATGACCTAATTGATAAGGAAATTCTTAAGAGATAACATGACCTCAGTAGCCAGTTATAAACATAGTTACAAAGACAAGAAAACGTGACTCTTCCGATGACATTAATGCTTTCCAGTACGATCTGCTATACGTGATTTTAGATATTAGCTTTCAACCACATGTTTGAGTACGTAAATTTATACTTAGAAGATGACTGCTATTTACATTGATAGTTCACACCGGTGTAAATTATCGTATGGCTTTCAAGGAAATTAAAGAAATTTTCATATGACATATTCTATATTTATATGCGAACTGTCACATTCACTTTAAAAGAACTGTTTTGGAAAAATGATATATCTAATAATTCACAGTAAAAAATCAATTTGAAATTTTATGTGATTTCAGATTACAACCATAGGAAACAAAATAGTCACATATTTTTCAACATTACAGTGTGAGCTACAAATTATGGACATATTTATGACTGAACAAATTTCACATTTACAGTTGTCTTGTACTTTCAGTGTGACTTGCACTACATTTTACTAATATCTATCATTATGTGGAGTTTTAATCATAATCCTTCAATATGTTTTGTTCAATTTATTCAAGCATTTTTTTTAACCTAAAAGGAGGTAATTAAAAATTAAGGATTTTTTTTTGTTCTTTGACAATGCACTTCTCTTTCTGGTCTCTAGATAAAATAAAATTACTTCAATACTTTTATTTTTTCTACGGACAGACAAGGGATTGACAATAAGCTCTTTCATAGGGAAGCCTTATATAAAGATTGAAATTCACTTGATTCGATTGTTGTATGAGGCGATTGATGTCTATTTTTTTTAATTTAAGGGTTTCCGCCACTTTGGAGGGCCTGCAGAGATTATCCTTTTGTGTACGTAGATAATTGATGTAATCATGGTGTAGATAATTATTGTGATCATGGTGTAGATAATTGATGTGATCATGGTGTAGATAATTGATGTGATCGTGATATAAATAATTGATATGGTTATAATGTAGATAATAACTGACGTGATCATTGTGTAGATAATTGATGTGATCATTGTGTAGATAATTGATGTGATCATTGTGTAGATAATTGATGTGATCATGGTGTAGATAATTGATGTGATTGTGGTGTAGATAATTGATGTGATCATGGTGTAGATAATTGATGTAATCATTGTGTAGATAATTGATGTGATGATGGTGTAGACAATTGATGTGATCGTGGTGAAGATAATTGATGTGATCATGGTGTAGCTAATTGATGTGATCATGGTGAAGATAATTGATGTGGTCATGGTGTAGCTAATTGATTTGACCATGGTGTAGATAATTGATGTGATCGTGGTGTGGATAATTGATGTTATCATGGTGTAGATAATAAATGTGATCACAGTGTAGATAACTGATGTGACCATGGTGTAGATAATTGATGTGATCATGGTGTAAATAATAGATGTGATCATGGTGTTGATAATTGATTTGATCATGGTGTAGATAATTGATGTGATCGTGGTGAAGATAATTGATGTGATCGTGGTGAAGATAATTGATGTGATCATGGTGTAGATAATTGATGTAATCGTGGTGTAGATAATTGATGTGATCATGGTGTAGATAATTGATGTGACCATGGTGTAGATAATTGATGTGATCATGGTGTAGATAATTGATATGATCGTAGTGTAGATAATTGATGTGATCGTGGTGTAGATAACTGATGTGATCGTGGTGTAGATAATTGATGTGATCATGGTGTAGATAATTGATGTGATCATGGTATAGATAATTGATGTTATCATGGTGTAGATAATTGATGTGACCATGGTGAAGATAATTGATGCGATCATGGTGTAGATAATTGGTGTAATCATGGTGTGGATAATTGGTGTAATCATGGTGTAGATAATTGATGTGATCGTGGTGTAGATAATTGATGTGATCATTGTGTAGATAATTGATGTGATCATGGTGTAGATAATTGATGTGATCATGGTGTAGATAATTGATGTGATCATGGTGTAAATAATTGATGTGATCATGGTGTAGATAATTGATGTAAACATTGTGTAAATAATTGATGTGATCATGGTGTAGATAATTGATGTGATCTAGTGTAGACGATTGATGTGATCATGGTGTAGATAATTGATGTGATCATGGTGTAGATAATTGATGTGATCATGGTGTAGCTAATTGATGTGATCATGGTGTAAATAATTGATGTGATCATGGTGTAGCTAATTGATGTGATCATGGTGTAAATAATTGATGTGATCATGGTGTAGATAATTGATGTAAACATTGTGTAAATAATTGATGAGATCATGGTGTAGATAATTGATGTGATCTAGTGTAGACGATTGATGTGATCTAGTGTAGACGATTGATGTGATCATGGTGTAGATAATTGATGTGATCATTATGTAAATTATTGATGTGATCGTGGTGTAGATAATTGATGTGATCTAGTGTAGACGATTGATGTGATCATGGTGTAGATAATTGATGTGATCATTATGTAAATTATTGATGTGATGTGGTGTAGATAATTGATGTGATCATTATGTAGATTATTGATGTGATCGTGGTTAATATGTCATAAATAAACTTCACCTATTTGTTTTATTTCATATGTTTCTGAATACAAGTAGTATTCTAGCACGAGTCATTATCGTTGTTAAATTTAAAGAAAATGTTAATACAAATGAAAACTTCTGAAGAGACGGGGCTTCTCCTGCAGGTGTAACATAATTTTTTACACCGTTAAAAACAAACACCATGGGACAAAAATATTTAAAGAGGCAAGTCATTGCCATTGTAAAGAAGGTTTTTTATGGTGTTTTCTTTTCAATAATTGGACTTACAACTCAAATTTCTGTTTCAAAACAGCAAATATTTTTATAAAAAGAAGTTGTTTTGATGAAATTGAAAAAAGTGCATTAAATACGCTGCCCAAAACATGGTTTGAAATACTTCATTGCAATGCATCCTCAAGTAAAGCGCAAAATTGTAAGAGACGTTCTTGAAAAAAAGTACATTTTCTATTGAGGTTGGAAGAAGGCATAGTATTTCAGTACCAGAAACAAAATTTCAATTGTGTCACATACATATTGGTGATGAATTTCATTATGTACTGGAATTGATGATAGAAATTATTTTTGTTAAAGCATATTATTATAGACATCCAAATATACTGAAAAAAATACATTCAATTATTAAACAGTATTAACCAACAAAATTGAATTAATCAAATTATGTTTCTAGAGATAATAATGAAAAATGTTAAAGTAAGCTATAATTAATAAATGTTATTTAATGATAAAAAAGTGTTTCAAACAATTATAAATGCATGAATATGTTTAAATGTATATAAATATGGTGTATATATATGTTAGGAAATCTTTGTGAGAATGAAAGGTCAAGAACCTATTGTATATGTATATTTAACATATCTTTTTGGCTTGCAGTTGGAAAACTTGTTCCGGTTAGGTGGTTTCCTGCTTACATCTGTTGGTGCATGATTGAACGGGAAACCAGCTCCAATCGTGCCAATCGCAACTTTTCGGCCTTTTCCGTCACTCTTCGGATTAATGATAATAGCCGATGTAGTTCCGATTGCAATCGTGACAATTCGGGCGATTCCGTCATACTGCGGAATCAGACGAAGTAATATTACGGAAATCTAAGCTATTTTAGTTACTTCGGTAATCCCAGTTTGTTTATATAAATAGGATTTATATTTTTACTTGATTTATCGGTTTAAACCGTAATGGTGAGGTAATCTAAAAATAGCCCATGCATATCATTAACCTTCCCACTCCTCGCAGCGGTTACTTCCCCTGATCTGTACAGTTAAAGCACAGACACTTGGGGTTTGGAGCTCAAAACGCCTTTATAATCCAAATAAAATGCATATTTGTCAATCCCAGCACATGTACTGATCATATATATAAAAAAACTTAATATAAGCCGTTTTGAAAAAAAATCATATTTCAACATCTATAATAATACACATTATAGATGTTGAAATATGAATTTTTTTCAAAACGGCTTATATTAAGTTTTTTTGATATATATGATCAGTACATGTGCTGGGATTGACAAATATGCATTTTATTTGGATTTTAAAGGCGTTTTGAGCTCCAAACCCCAAGTGTCTGTGAGTTAAAGTAGCAAAGCGTGACGTAACAGTTGTGAGGAGTTTGGTGCTGATATCGTCTATTTGTGATCGTGTAACATAGTTGATACATGCTTATTAATTGGTACCACGTAACGAAGTATTTTAGTGCATTTACTTGTCTATAAAGCAAAGGAATGATTTCGCTGAAGGGGAAATGAAATGTGCACACTTGTTTTCCTTCAGTATCACGTTAGTATTTTTACGATTGATCATTTTCTTTATTAGTTTTATACAATAGAGAATAGATTTCAAATCGTTTTGACAAAAAATATTCGGTTTTCCAAAAAAAATCCAACTAAATAAACCCTTTATGATATACAAATACCGTAATTAAAAAAAAAATGTGATAATAAATTGAGACCAAAAAAACACACAATTTTAAAGGGTTGGGATGAAGGCACAACTGTGCAAGCCTGTCCTTTTAAAAGGAAACTTTATTTATGCTAAATTAACTGGCATGCATGCTATAAGTTTTCTTACATTTCGTTTCGGTAAGATTTCTTGCCAAAAGCATAAGCATGTCAATTATTAACAAACAAACAAAAAACGTCTTCATTTTTTGCACTGGCTTTGAAATAAATAAACATCAGAAAATAAAGCCAAAAGAAACAAAAATGAATAAAAACAGCAATAATAATAATAAAATAAGTTCAATAGCAAATTGCCTTTATATTTTGATTACTGTATAGGTAAATACTAAGACGCAATCTGCATATACATTTGTTAACTCATCAACCATCTATTGTATAAGACGACTGGTATCCCATTCATTATATTAATAATACGGTATATCTACAGATGT